CAATAACAAAATAAAAGGAATAGAATTCAGTTTAATAAATTCTATTCCAGAAACATTTAAGGATGTGCAAGATAATTAAAATTTGAATAAAATCAAATTTTGAATTATCAAATAGCACATACGTTAAATTTTTATTGTTCCTTTCCCAAAATAATTAACATTTAATAACAATAAACAAAAACACATTTCCAGGCATAGAATTTATTTAAAAAAATTATTCTATGAAGGAAGCACTAAAAAATGTGTATTTGCTAATTCACAATTCAAACAATGTTTTTATCCTTACTTTTAAATATTTCGCGCCAGATTACATATCGGGTCTGCGACGCTCTCTTCCGTCTACTTAACTAACATTCGAATAATCTCTCTACCAGTTAGTTACAGCGGATATTTTTAAATTTCATCAAAGTATTTTTTAAGCAGATATTATGCAACAAATAATGACTATTTAGCAAAAAGAAATCATACATACTTATGTGAGTGTGTAATTAAAATGACATTATTTACATCTACTTATTCATTTTCCAGCATTTAGAGTATGTTGGGTTGCCTAACCACACGTTCAGTTTCTGGTAATTAATTTTTGTACTTGAAAAAGTGACCTTTCGTTCGTTCGACAGGTCCGGATTAAAACTTTTTAAGAGATGGTTGCTAAATACAATTAATATTTTTTGTGAATGTTGAAGTTAGTTTTAAACTTTTAATTATAATGCTTAAGTGAATGTCTTGAATGAATTCCACAAGATTAATAATAACTGCACAAGTTTATTTTACCAATTAATCTTTTAAATATTTTCCTGAACAGCCAAAATAACGTGATTTTAGATAGAGCTTAATTTAGGAGATATTCGGTTTTAGAAAATACTTTTTATTTTATTTAACAATCAGCAGTGATTTTATACTAATTTAAAAAAAGCAAATACATATAAGTTATTACGTCGTTGAATACTACAATAGATATTCAAAAATAGCAACGCAAACTACTACATTGTAAATTGTAAATTTAGTGTTCTGAATTGTATGCACTGAATTTAAAATCTATCGTTTAATTGCTCAATAGTGTTAATTGGCTGAACATAAACTAATTGTTTTAAGTGGTCCCATAAAATGTCTGAAGGATTGAGTTATAAATAACTTTTATTGAAATGTATTTCCTTTTTTTCTACTTTAGAATAATAAATGAATTGTTAAATAAAATATTAAAGTATTTTTTAAAACTGAAAATCT